TAATAAAAGATACCAGATTCACCCAAAGAACCTTGTCTGTCCATTTTCCACTGACATTAAGAGGTGTTTTATATGTGATAGGACAGTAAAGTTCCTTTGGAATCTTTTGGATTACTATAAATAAATATAGCTATAGATGAACAATAAATAGAGCTATAGATACACATATCATTACTTACTTAAAACTGGTTGTAGCAAAGGCCTATTTCCCATTTTAAGTGCAGTCATGCATTGTGAATAGTTCCTCTCTGGTTTTCTGTTAGTGTGAATTATGCTTCATTCCGTATAATCAGGCTTTGGTTTTAGACTGACATGCAGCTGTAAACCTGTCAAAATGTAAAATCCCTTCTTACCAGAAAGTATCTGTCTGAGACGAAACAAACATCTCTGTGCTGATTTTGGCATGACTTGTCAGTTCACTAACCCTTTGCAGTTAACTTGTTGAACTAGTGCACAGTTAGTAATGGATCACTGAATTGCTTGACTCAGATACTTTTTTAAAAAACAGCATGAAAAAATGGACTTTGGGCTTTTATGAAGTAAAATCTAGGGGCAAAATTGTCAGAACCATGAATCAGGCTCCAAATCCACTTAATGTTCGGGAGTATCATACTGTTTACCTAAGGATGGCAGTCCATCAAGCCAGTGTACCAAAAGAAACAAATGTCATTGACAAATAGGAGAGAAGTCCCAAGTCCCCGGACTCTGCTGTCTTGGGCTTTGAAATATCTAGTCGCTTAAAAGGCTTTTAATATGTAATCTCTGAATGTGAAATGCCAGGAATCTAACTTGCTTTGTAGCTCTGAAACTCTATGGTATCTCATTAAGCTTCTCCATCCTTACTAGGATCTGATCAAGTCTGTTTTAATAAACACTTATTTTTATTACTGTAACTGAGTGACATCACAGTGTTTTTACAGATAAAAGTCCCAAAGAGGTCCATGAATTTTGGCTGGAAGATTCAAAAGGGACCTAAGCTAAGCTCCAGCTGTCAGTGTAATTCAGTGAGTAACTGGTGCTTAACTTTCTTAAGGTTTCTTTGGAAACCCCAGCTTCTAATGCTCTAAAAGCTAGACTGAGTGTTGTGCAGTAAGGGCATTGTTCAGCAATCAGCGTGTCATATGAATGTCACATTCCTCTGGGACCTAAAGAGTCCTGGAAACATCCACCACCTGTATACTACTGCTATGCCACCCAGTAGCAAGTGTTTGCAGGGTAAAGTCCTTCATTCTAGAGCATGTATACCTGGGGTACGTAACAGTTACAGCATTCCAATATAGCTCCTCTCATACAATTTCATGTTGAGTGACAGCAAATATCTACTTCTGGAGTCATGTGTTCATTATCCTAGCATTAGTTTCCATATGCAGAAGTGGGAAGTCTTCTCATTGTATCCATTTGATTTCTGCGGCCTGACTGCACTCAGTAGCAAGGTGCACTAAAAAAAGAAATGGTACAATCCAGGACGAAGGATATTTGCCCTTTTAAGCACACCTGATTAAATGTATTTATTGTTCTAAACCTAGAAGGCCTTTGGTTGGATTCCCACCTCTGTGGTCTTTCTGATTATATTTATACTGTTACTTGACTGTGGGTGGCAGCAGTCCCATAAACACACTATTCACTAGCCCCTTTCCTCCCCCCCCTCTATGCTTTCACAGTTCAAGTGCCAAAGCAATAAATTTGAAGTGGTTATAAGTTTTTTGACACTTTTATAAGTATTTATGCAAAATATTTAACCAGTTCGGTGTTGTCTTAGCTTTCCCATAGGATGCGGCAGCTCATTTGAGAGGTTATTGATGGCAGAAAAGTGCATTTCTGTTAAACCATAGATCAGATGTTCAGGGGGGGAAAGATGTCTTGTTTTTCACTTGTGGTTAAATGCTTGGCTAAAAATGCAATGGAAATAGAATATTAACAGTATTTCCTTTTTGAGATATTTTGTTTCCAGATTCTCTTCTCAAATTGTCAGACATTCTCTGTGTAAATTTCAGCTCTTTCCCCCCCATTCTTGTATATATGATGGCATAGACTCCACTGCCACTGTTCTCTCAATAATATACACATCAAGAAAACTCTTAAGGAATGATTCTATAGCCACAGGGCAAGCAAAAGTCAATGACAAAATTCTTCAGTGTCATTGATAACTGAAGGCGGTATGAGGCAGTTAGTACTAGTAGCCCTAGAATGGGAGTTAATGAAAAGAAAATTTCCACTGGTCTACTCAGTAGTGTAACCAATAATTTTAACCACACATTTCCAGGAGGTAAATTGATTTTTTCTTGAAAACACATTTGTCAAGTGTAGCTGATTAGAAAAGAAAAGACATATGGAAATTGTTGAAACCTTGCTGTCCATAACACTTGCCTTCATTAAGGACCTTTGGCTTCTCTACAGTATTGATAGCATGCAACATAAGGGAAAAGTTCTTTGCTAGACTTCCCAACTCACCCAGCTGACAAACATTCTGGACTTTTTAAAGATGACATATGTTAAGCAGTGAGTCCAAAGATTGGTAGGATTTCTTGCAATGGTACTTAGTTTTTTGCGCCAAAGAAAAGAAATGGCATCACTTTGGAAATCTGGAATCTTACAAAGGACAGCTGAAAAGAGAAAGGAAAAAATAATTAATGGAAGCAAGTATTGAAACTATTGCTAAATGGATAATTTTTCCCAATTTCTTATGGAATTAGGAGCACAAGTCTCACTGCCCTTAGCTATGTTTGAAAATCCCAACCTGTACTGACGTGAAATCCTTCGCTCACAAGGAAGAACCTTGCAGAGAAGTTGACTAGCTTAGCAAGTAGTTATTTTTATCACTGATCTTGAACACTCTTCACATGTTTATTTTTTTATTAAAGTAACAACAAATTAGTCTTAATAAATTGTTGAGTTTTATACCACTCATTAAAAATTGACCTTTTGAAGTCCATCTCCAAATTAAACAAAAGTACATGATATTAAACAAATTTGATCTAGTTATGATATGTTGAGTTATGGTCTGGCACAGTTTCCTTTCATTGACTTGAATGGGCTTACTCATGATTTATTTTGACATATAAGACTGATCCAAATTAGCAACAATGGATATTCAGCCCTTGATTGTCAAGAGAACAGATTCTAAATGTATTGTAATGGAACATTCATGGAATGGAATGTGCAATCTTGACTCAGGTGAAACTCTATTTATTTCAATGAGTCTTTGTCTCCAGACCTCACAAATGCAAGCTATTCTATAACATGTGTGTGTGGAGTGGGGGATTAAAGACATGTTAAACCAAAACTACAAATTTCCTGGGTATGGCAAGAATAATCCTGACACTAACTGTATTTTAAGTTAATGTATATGGGTGAACAGCTTTTTCATAGTATTAGTTAAGTACTGTAGCCACACTATAAGCACACACACACTCGCACCCACATACATGCATGCACATATACATACACACATATACATCCCGTATCCCCCATCCCCACCCTCATTTTTAGCAGACTCCTAAGACTAGGAGATATCATTTGTAGCTCGTGTAAACTGGCATAGCTTCACACATTGCAATGGAGCTATGCTAATTTACACCACTGGAGACTCTGGCCCTGGCTATAACGTTACAATGCAAAATAGATTGCATTATAACTTTCAAAGACAGGAGTTGTAAATTGCAAACAATGGCACATTTACTGCAGCAGCATCAAGGGACATGCTGCTGAAAACTGAGTCAATTTTAAAAAGAAAAATAAGGTTAAAGTAATTCCAATGTTACACCTGCCCTGAACTATTTTTTGTGGTTTAACCATTGTGTTTTCCTACTTTTAAAATTATTTTTGTTTCCCTTTTATTGCCGTGGGAAACACCCAGACAAACAAGGGAAGCTGAGTACAGTTAAACAGACTAATGATTAACTTACAGTCAAATAGATGGAAAAACAATACAAGACATACAAAATATTATCCCCACCCCACCTTTTCTCAGCTGGTGTAATATTATAGGGTTCATTTGTCACAATAGCTGTTTACAAACATGCAAACCAAAGTGTACTTGTTGTTAGAATGAGTCTGCTTGTGTAAGTTATGCTATTCCAGTTACAAGGCTACCACAATCCTTCTTCTTGTTAGGGTGCATTATATAAGAAATTTTCAAGGTGAAACACTGTGAATAAAGAAGACAGGTCCCTGGAAACATCCTTGTGTGGAAATTGAGAAGAGGTGACGCAGGATGAGGACTTGCAGGATCATGCCCAGGATTTGAGGTTTGATTTACCTTGGCATTTGTTGCTTGCTCAGCTGTAATGTTATATACAGAATATTTACATCTGTTGATAGTCCCCAATCCTTCCCTGAAGTTTATAAGGCAGGCAGCATACCAGCTGAGGCATTATTCTGTTCTGGGCAGAGGCTATACAGGCTGACTCTTATCTCACTTGTGCTGGTTTTAACACAAATTTGACACTACTGACTTCAATGGAACTTTTCTTGATTCTGTATCTATGTAAGAAAGCTGCCTTTTCTGTTGAAAAGAAAAATGTAATTTAAGCTGCTTAATATCACCATATACTACATCACAGTTTGCTTGCAATGGATCCAGTCTGCTTCGTTTAGGGGTATGAATCCACATAACTGTGCTGGTATAAACCAGAGACAAATTTGGCTCTAGCTATCTATCACACAATAGTAAAATCACCCTTAAAAATTGTGATGAAAATCTACAAATCCAGATACAAAAGTCTACATATATACAAAGATGTATACAAAGATGATTTTGTGTGTGTGTGTAAATATACACACATACACACTCATATGAATATAACTTCAATTACTTTACTTGTGAACTGCAATACTCAGTTAGCATACTTATGAAAAAAGAACAGTTCCTGGATGGGTATAAGCTACTTATTGTTTTCAGAGCAGGCATGGCTTACCTATTTAATGTGTTAAAGGTAGAATACTTACTCTCTGAGCAATACATTTATGATATGCAATATGCATATTAAAATCCCACCTACCATAAAACAGCTGATGTAAATTAGGTACTGAGCAGGTACATTCACCATTTTTCAAAGCTCTTAATCAAAGCTACTATCAACATTAATAACAGGGGATTTTATATATATATTACTTTCAGTTAGTAGTCATCAGATTAACATTACATGTGAAACATCATCTTTCTAAATAATCTGGCTCTCAGGTGACAGTTTTTGAAAAATTGCAGAAGTGCCATATTTTTACACTCATAAAGTTATCCAGATTAGTGGAACAGGGAAGGGATTACCAAAGATGATAGTGTAGAGGGGAAGCATCAAAATTTGTTTTTTGTAGCCTCAAATGTCCAGGTTTTAGTTCATAACAATTATTTACAGTTGGACTAAAACCCCATGAAACTAAGGGTTTACAATGGAAACGCTGATACATTCTTAACTATACACTTCCACAAGTGCACAACTTTAATATCTAATTTAAACTATGTCTAATGATGACTATATAACTAAATAACCCTCATTATTGCATCCCTTTTCACCCATGGGAAAGATTTGGCAGTCCATAAAAATGTCAGTATATCCTCTATAAAGGTAAACACACCACATGTTCGTGGACTTGTTCCAGCTTATTGATGTATGGGAATGCCCCTTGTTACATGAATATATGTTTATGTGGGTGACGTCAGTTTTCACAGACCTGCTGCTTTTTCTTACAGTACATTTCATGCTGGCAGTGGTAGCAGGTAATACACACAGCTGTGAGTTCTTTGGGGTGTAAGTGCAGCAAGTACCATTATGGTTATTGAATGGTATATTTCCTATTCTAAGTATGTCTGAATAAACTCTCATCTCATATAATGCCATGCAGTAACTGCTGGCAAGTGCCGACTTCAAGGTGCATCTGACAACTATAAGGAACAAAATATGTTTTAATAATATTTTCTGGAAGCTTTTCTGCTGTAGATCTTGCCCATCTCTGTGTAGCCATCCCTTTCTCTCTCCTCCTCCCCACCCTACCCACTCCCAAATTTAGGGGGGGAATGCAAACCTGATGCCACTGAGTACAAAGAAGTCAGGATTTCACCCAGGAAAACTGAGACATGTGGTGACTAGTGTGTACTCACATGACCAGCTGAAAATGCTGGCCAGTCCAGGCTGATGTCCCATCTACTGAACCATATCTGCTACCCTATGGTATAATGCATGAATATAAACAATAAAGCATATTTGTACAGTACCTCCCTGCCCTGGTCCATGACAGGAGTTCTAAGCCTCTCCCACAGTGCAATCAGTCAGTTATCATAACAAGAGTGCATGAGATCTGTCTTATCTCTTGCAAGTTACCATGGGCTCAATACTACAATGATTAAATGCCAAACAAACATCTTCAGCACCCAGTAGCAAAATCTAGCTACTGTATTGAGGTGTGTGTATGGGAACAGGGATTTATTTTTAGCTAAGACCTTGTAGCAGCCAGATGCTGTCAGAGTTTTCATCTTCTTCTTATTTCCCCACTTTCACCTTGCTTGCTACCTCCGTAAATATTTTTTCTCCTCATTTGCTCCGTATCTCAACAATGCGTCTATATGCATCCCATGAGATGACAAAAGTAAGAACTAGTTCTCACCTGAGTTAATAAAATTCCCCTTGCTTGAGTACAGCAGACAGGATCAGACCCAGTGAATGCAGGTCATGATGGAAAGTTTGTTGTACAGCAGATTGGAGGGGGATTGTCATTCACTAGGCATTGGCTTTATTTGCCATTGCATTGGACCTGGCTTGGTGACATGCACTTGTGCAAAGGGAGTGTAAAATGGTACCATGTAAGAATAGGATGTATTTGTTTTATCTGCAATGGAGAGTTCTGTCATGGTGCTAGAACTCCAGAGTGCTTAGGTACTTTTACCTGTCTAGTGCTTTTGCTTCAGACAAGTAACCCCTGTGTCTGAGGTTGCAAGTAGATTATATTGTATGTAAAAAAAATCTTAAAGTCCACTTATTGAGCATCAGTCTGGCTACCTAGAGAGTGCACTAAACTATGTCACAGGAAAGCAGAACTCCATTCCTGGCTCTTTCAGAAGTTTGCTGTTTGACCTAAGTCATGATTCCTCTCTGCTGGGTGACCTTCCACACATCATGCTTCCTTTCTGTGCACCAGTTTCCCCATCTAAAATAAGAAGACTCATACGGAGATCCTCTCGGAAGCACTTTGAGAGGTACTGGTGAAAAGCGCCGTATAAGAATTAGATATTGGTATTAGCAATGGTACTTAAGCCATTCTGCCATGTGACTGAGAATCAGGCCCAGTGCATGTGTTTTGGGTTTTTTTAAGCTGTTGTTCAAAGAAATCTCATCTCATTCCGAATAATGATGGGGGCAATGTCTCTGGCTGGTGTACATCTGTCAAACGATACTAAAGTCAGTAGAGAAAGGCTGATTGACACCAAGGACTGATCTTGTACATTAATATATCAAGGGATTAATAACTACAAGACTGTAGCACTGTTACAGGTTCTTCTGCAGCTCTGAACTGTGATGTTAATAGTTTGAATTGTAGTTTCTGTAAGAGCAGGTGTTTAATAATTTACTTGTATTTCCTTTGGGTTTAAATGTGGATGCTTAAATGTTGAATGGATTAATGTTTTACCTGGGGAAAAAGCTGCAGAAATAGGTACTCTGTGGCTAACTCCTTCACTATATCTTCATCCTTTAAAAATGTTTATTGAAATTGGTCTGCACCCTGAAATCATTTCTGTTGAATCAGTTTGACTCCATGCTCCAAAGGGATAGCAACCCATCGTTTTGTGTGTATTTCCATTTTAAGATAATCCTTAAACCAAATTGATACATAAGAAATCAGTGGCAACAGCTAATGATTAGCCTGCAAGAGTCATTAGTAGTCAGGAGACTGAATTATTTTATCCCTACCTCTGCTTGTTTAGGCTGCTTTACTCTGGGCAGGCTAATCCATATGAAGGCATCGCCATCTACTGGTAGTTTGTGATATTTGTTGGCAGTCTTAGAAAAATTAGCAGGATTTCAAGAATCTAGTTTGGCTTCTTAGTCAAAGAATATATTGCTCCTTTTGTTTCTGTGTGGCTCAAGCCAACTAGTTTTTCTGTTTTGCTCAATAAACAAGAACTGCTTATTTTGTGCCCCATTTTCTTTAATTCCCAAATTCTGAACTCTCAAGAGTTTTGTTATAAAATAAATATCTTAATCCCCAAAAGAAAACCAACATTTGTGAGTCAACAGATTAAAAAAAAAATCAAACAAAGAACTTCCTACAGTAGACACACTGATGGCACAATAACTGCAATTCTGAATATGTGGTCATGAATGATTTGTACAGTTAGTTATTATTTACCCTGCAGTACTGAATACAAACGAACCTCAAAAGAACTCAGGTGCCTAGGTAGTAAGTGCTTCATAGATACATGGGAAGAGACTGCTCCTGCCCCTGTTGTAAATCAAATTTTGGTCCCTTGTATGGAAATTTAGGATTATTTCAGGTAATGATTAATAGGCAGAAACTGGATGGCTTTGATTCAGTTTGTCTAAGCACCTGAAAACTGACCTATCTGAACCTCTTGTATCCCCCAAATCAGTCTAGAAAGAATATTGAAGCAGGTCGTCTTTTCTGTGCGAGTCTCAACAATTCCTGTTGAGTCAGAAATTTGCATAACTAATGTTCCTTTTGCCTTTGCAGAACAATAAATCTAATATAATAGAAAATTTCCATCTTTTAACTGCTCTGAACCCTGCTGTTCCTGATAGTTTCTTAGCAAAAAAATGAGAGCAAGATGGAATTGTTGATTTTCTTAATTTGTTTTTCATTTTTTAAATTACTTTGATAGTTAAACCAAGTAAGAACCTTTGGATAAGAATCTGAAAGCCCAGGGTTCCCTCTGAATTAAACATTGACCAACTTTTTGAATATCAACAGGGGGAAGGGTTTGGTTTTTGTTCAGCAGAAGCATTTGGGCAAAGGTTCTGTATCAGCCAGTATGTTCTTTATCAAGAGGCCTGTTCATCCTTATTCCTATGGGCATTTCTGGAATTTATTTTACCCCCTTTTTTTTTTGGATGGATGAAAAAATATGTCTTGGAAAAACCTGTGCAGTGAGATCCCTTCCTCAGATTCAAGAGAAAGTTTTGACATGCCAAGCTGTCAGAACAGCTTTTAACTGAATGTCCCCTGGTTGTTCCACTATGCTGGGGTTTTTCCAGTCCTTCTGGGGACTACACATGTTCTGTTACAGTTTAGTTTTCCATACAGCCCAGCTTTACAGCTCTCTGGTGTTCCTTAAAGTCAGAATCTATGTTTTGTCAGTTTGACCAATACAGAGCTAATTATAATTTGAGCAGGGAACATCTTTCTTTTGTTAAAACATGCTGTTTCTGGTTGTGACCCAAAAGAACCAAACACATTCTTGGTTAGGCACAGGCTTAAGTGCCACGGTGAAACAAGTCCTGGGTTGGGAATATGGCCTTAGGTTTGTGAAAGATACCTGTGGTAAGACTGACTTCTCTATTTTCACAGCTGTGGAAACCCTTCTTTCCACAGGATCCTGCTCATTGGCACATCCTGAATACACACAATTATTGCCTTTGGCTTATAATCTTCTCCACCATGCCTACAGGGAAGAGGGGTTTTTGGCAATAAAATGTCTATCTTTAAACTCACCTTGAATTGGATATCGCGTTCTTCAGCTGCCTTTCTCTCTTCATTCATGCAGCTTGTTCTACTTCCTGTGGTGGATGTAATTTAGTGTAATGAATTGGGTAAGAAATTACTGAGTTTACATCCAGATTATAGAGAACAATAGTAGTCTGACTGAAAGCCAAGAGACTGTAAAACTAGTCCTGATGCCACTGGCTTATTATAAAGCACTATAAAATATCATGGATTATCTGAGTATGCAAAAATAGTGGTTTTTTTCTTGCTCTGCCTTTCACCCCAAACCTTTCAAATGACTAGCCTCTGGCTTTTGGGGTGCTAGATCAAGACATGCCCTTCTGGTCTTTCATTTTTTTGAGGTATACTGCTTTTACTTCTGTATCTTTTTTAATCAGTGTTCTAATTTGGTGCTTGTTACTGTGCAGGTCTCTCATCAAGGGCCTACTTATACATAGAGGGGTGACCGTACAAGTCCTCCACTAGGGTGTGTAGACTATGCCATGGCCCCTTACTTAGCAAAACACTAAACAAAGGGCTTCAACTTTAAAACCTGGCATTTTTTATTAAGTACAGTGTGTTAAACTGAGCAAGCAAGCATAGCACACTGATTTATAGCTGTAACTATACCAATTATGCATACATACTTAAGCTTGTAGATAGCAGCTACACACCAGACAAAAAAAAACACAGGAAGGAGTTTCAGGTCTCCATCTGTAACATATAGGCACACTACAGAGTGACTCAGGATGGGTTTTTCTGAGGCATTGCATTCAGTGAGATTTGGGAAGCTATTTAGGCTCCTTTGACAGCCCAAACCATTTGTTCAAGAACTCAAAGGAAAGTTGAGGGCAGGGCTGGGAGCTGAGCCCAACTCTTTCAATTCCTAGTTGATCCCCTTCCCCACAAGGCAACAAGGCCATCCCATCCTCCTTTGGTGGGAAAATGCTTCCCCCATTTCAGTTAGGACCGTAGCCCATTGGTAAGCCTAGTGCTGTGAAGCTGAAATGAAGCCGATTCAAAGTCCAGTGAAGTCAGTAGTTCTTCTATTGATCACTATGGATTTTGGATCAGATCTAAAATTTCAGCCATCTGTGCTATGCCTCTTTAGGATGGCCTGGCATGGCAACTGTCTTCACATGCATTAAATTCACAAACACTCCATGCTCCTCATTGTGACTCCAAGAATGTTTGCATGTGCTTTTTGCTATCCTTAATATATAGCCATCGTGCTTCTTGTGACCCTGATTACTTCTTGACTTCAGAAGGGTGATGTATGCTAAGTGTTTATATCATGTAGTGTTGGGTTTCATATTAACTAGTTGTTCTTAGCTTGGAATTATTGATCCATTCTTCTAGGTGTAGTTGTAGTTTCTATGATATGAATATTTGTCAAATGGGAAATGAATGGTAAAGTGCGGTTTAAATTCAAAGGCTGGAGGGTGGAGTCAGCGGAGACTGTATATTAAAAAAAACAAAACACCACGATCCTTTCCCACTGAAGTGAATGGGAATTACTCATGGGATCAGTGAGTAAAGTACAAAGCAAAAAGTCTTTGGGTCTTTTCTAGTTGTCAAAGTTTCCTATATTCTTATGTAAATATTTATTTTTATAGGGAATCCTGGAAATGAAGAGCTGTATGTTTTTAATCTAACCTCCTTAACCAAGTCTGAAAATATCTTGTCAGCTTCATTTCATTATTACATTGGGGACCTACTGAACATGAGTTGGAGTTGTCCTCAATCCAGAGGCTGCTCTCGTCATGGAAGCAGGAAACCAAAAATTCAGATAGATCTCTTAGTGTTGAGTGTCCCTTCTCGTGGGAACCAAACTCGGACTCTGGGACACTTTCTAATTAATGTCTCTGCTGCTTATCGGGCTGATGTTTCCTGGCAGTGGAAGGACTTCACTCATGTCTTGTGTGAGGCAAAACAGAATGACGAATTTCTCATTGGTGTCAAGATGGCCTCAACCAGCCATTACCTCTGGAGAAGGATGCCATCCAGCTATGAACCCTACATCCTGGTCTATGCCAATGATTCTGCCATTTCAGAACCAGACACCGTTGTTTCTAACTTTCAAGGACACCAACATTCTCTGTCTGTGGGCTTTCCCAGACAGGAGAGCCACTCCAAGGGCAGCCTTACTGAGCAGCGACGGAAGCGCTCCACCAGTGTCTTGTTGCCCTTGCAGAACAATGAACTCCCGGGCTCTGAATACCAGTACAATGAGGGTGAGAGATGGGAAGAGAGAAAATCCTACAAAACTCTCCAGCCACGCCTGGCTGAGAGGGCCAAGAATAAGAAAAAGCAGAGAAAGAACCAGCACCAGAAGAGCCAGACACTCCAGTTTGATGAACAAACCTTAAAGAAAGCCAGGAGGAAGCAGTGGAATGAGCCACGGCACTGTGCACGGCGCTATCTCAAAGTGGATTTTGCAGACATTGGCTGGAGTGAATGGATTATTTCTCCTAAATCCTTTGATGCATATTATTGTTCAGGTGAATGCCAGTTTCCCATTCCAAAGGTATAGTATATACTTTTTTTCTTTTACACTATTGCTCCTCTGTCTCCATGGAACAGGAAAATGTATCTAGGTTTTATGCAGTGCAAACCTTTTTTTTTTTTTGCATCAATAAAACCCAGCTGGACTCCTATTAAGTTCTAGAATGCAGTAAATAAGTAATATCTTTTTTGCCTGATCTTTAAGGGTAGTTGTTAAAACAACTACTATGAAGTAAGAATTGGTTTATGCAAAGATATAAAAGCAAAGTTATATGGAAGAATTATTTTTTGGCCAGACTCCAAACATGCTGTAAATTGCTAATGGAATAGTAATAATGTGTGAACGCATGACCATCCTGTTTAACAAAGCATAGTAAATGACAGAGCCTGGAAATGCTTATGATCAAGTGCTACACAGAGTAGTCGCCATAGAAATCCAGGAATGGGACTATTCAAAATAGTTAGTGCCAAACTTAGCAGTAAACGCTTGCAGGATATGATCCTAAACCTGCTCTGAAAAAATGAGTTGTTGGCATCTCCTAAGTGGACTGAACTCTAAATATAAGCAAATTAAATCAGAAATGTAATAACTGTTTGCTAAAGAGCAGGTTCTTCTCTGCAGTGACATCCCTAGCTATGACTAAGCATGATGGGGCTGATCCTAGAAACTGTCCTCCAGGAAGGATCATTTGATCTGCCCCTATGATTGATACAAATGAGCTTGCCTGCTTAAAATCAGTTGTCCAACTTGATGTGTCATGTAACTCTACAGGAGTTGTACCAACACCTCCTACTCTAATACAGCTGAAGAGTGGGACCCACTATGAAACAAAGACCTAAAATGAGGGACTCACAAGAACTATTCCTACAGGATACTTAGTGGATGTAGGGACTATTATTTTTACTGTGGCCTCATATTCCCCCTGCTTTAGCTCTAATGGAACTAGCTATGAGCAGTACAAGTGAGCTGACTTTAAATTTGCATGGAGTTTTGGTAACTTTGGGACAACAGAGAATAGCACTGTTAGTGCTGTATAAAACAGACAGATTATTACAATACAGTTAATTTGGCTTGCTATTGGCCTCATCAGGAAGTGTGGTCAGGACAGTTGTTTGAATCAGGTTTGCAGGATCTGACCCTAAATCTGAAAGGCACTCTTTGATTTTCTGCTTTTGTTAGGCACTCAGAAGGAGAACAATGAGATTATTTTACTACCATTGAAACACATTCTGCTGTGCCTTTTAAGCTTCTCTATCAAAGTGGGTGCAGCTTTGCTCCTTGTTTTATGATTGATTACCATCCACACTTTGTCATAGTCCAACATATGGGTTTGAAACAAACCTTTCAGTTCAACAGAAATTTGACCTGGACTTTTTCCATCCTAACTCTAAGGGCATTAACCAGAGTGATGCATGGGGCACTACTATAATTTAAAACTGTCAGCACTTCCCATTTCAAGCTTGTTTATAAGCTTTGTAATCTCAAATGTAAAAATCTGCTTTGCTCTGGGGATAGATCTTGGCTCAGGAACAAATAATTCTTATACACATACGTGCACATACACAAAGCACTACCTGAAACAAATCAATTTGGTTAGTTTATAGGAATATAAAAACAAAAACAATATTTTTAAGAAAAAAGAATGATACAAGCTGTTTGTCTAAAAGTGCTCTACACTTTAAATGAATCTGTGCATTGTGTGAGCAATGTAACATGGACTAACAATTGAAGGCAACAAAGCCGACACTGAAAATGTCAACAGCTATTATATTGTAATTGATAAGCATTGAAGTCAATAGAAATTGTCCTATTGCCTTCTACGTGCTTTATATAAAAGAATACATTTTCCTCAGTAAACACCACTGAACTTTGCCATGCTTGATGTGTCAGCCGCACTTATATAGTCAACTATATGAGTTCCTTATATTCTCTTTAGTATGAACTCAGTCTGTGGGGTTCTGAATATCTCCTTGTAGGTTCTTTCAGTGGGAGTTAGGAACCAAAAAACTGAGCATCTGTGCTTTAGTGCTGTCACTTCTCAGTGAAGTCAGTGGGAGCTGAGGCTTCTCAGCAGCTCACAGGATCTGGCCTTCGGTAGAGTGATACCATTCCCATCTTCTTTTAGCAGTATTCCCCTTCCCCCGTCAAATTCATTTCTGTAGAAAATATTTTCTTTCTGCCAGTCTGTCATTCATAGCATCCGATGAAGCAGGTCGTTGCCTATGAAGGCTTATGCCTCTCTGAACCAGTTAGAGGTGGTGCTACCTTGCTATACTTTCTGCCTTATTTCTAAAATTGGTCTTTATACAAAAATACATATTTAACTGGTGGGACTGTGATGGCTTTAAAGAGGAAGCCATTTCTTTGTGGCAGGTAAAATTGCATCTATCCAGAGTGAGCCTATCCAAAGCCTATTGAATGGGAAGACTATCATTGATTTCATTGGACTCTGGATTGAACAAATGGGCCTAAAGACATGCGACTTCTAGAATAAATGAGCTTTCAATATGCCTGAGTATATACTTTAAAACATATACTAAATGCATAAGTATATTCAGAGGTGGAGTTTAGAAGCACCTAGTACTGAGCACCTGTATTCACTCAAGTCAAGAGTCAGGTTACTAGCAAGTATTTTTGTCAGTTCCACTTAGAGCTAATTGTAAATGCCCATTAATATAACAAAGTGAGCTAGTTTCTCTTCAGAGTTCATAATCAATTTTAAAGATATGGAGGGTTCAATAGCAAAAGCATAAAGTGCCTTCCTTGAGAGACCCACTGGCAAACCCCAGAAAAAATAGACAATGTACAGGCAAACCCACTTAACGCTGTTTCACTTAGCATTATTTCGCTAAAACACTCATTTAAAATTGATACCCAATTTCATTTAGCGCTCAGCGAGTTTCGTTATAATGCTCATGGTCACCATTTTGGGTTATTAAAAACAACTGCAGTTGTCATCTTGGGTTATCAAATACTTTCAGTTTCATTTAACGCTTATTTCATTTAACTCTTGGTTTTCAGGAACCAATTAAGAGCGCTAAGCAGGGATTGCCTGTATATTTTCTTTGTATGGTACCTTCTTGATACAGGATCCCGAGGGTCCCTTAAACATTTTATAACCCATGGGCCTGATTCCAGTGGCCTTCTACCTCAGGCAGTGAAAAGTGAGTGCCACGTGGGTATGAACCCCTCTAATCCTGATCCGATAGTACTTTACTGTGAGTACTTGGATCCTCAGTGGTTTTGAGGGAAAGGGAAGATTAACTTGTTCTAATGCTTTGCTGTCTGAGAGTTTAAGTTATAGAGAGATGCAGTGCTTACTGCCCTCCAAAATGGAGTTTTGGGTATGAGCAAGTATATCGTTGGAGTCATTTCAAAAGGTGGGGCTGCTGATTGGGAAGGTGCAGCAGCTGACATGTTCTAACAGTTACCTGTGCAGAAGGGGGCGGGGGCTGTGGGAGGAGGGATATATATGAAGCAAACTCTCTCCAACTCTAGCCTTGGATGAAGTGGTCTTTGAGCTGTACCTGTTCTGCTGTTGTCCCCAGCTCATGTAAATCTGCCTGGTTCAGAGTGAAAGTTCTCTTTTCCATTTTTGAAACAGTTCCAAATGTACATTTGTCCATACCCTTTTGTGACCAGCCCATTATGTGACTGAAGCATTGGTTTCACATTTTAAATTTCCCATCTTCAGACAATTTGCCTAAAAAATCATAGTATAGTATCAGGCTTCTTTAAACATTTAGGGTCAAACTCATCCCCACTAAAAACAGGTGCTAATCTGCTGAACAATAGAAATATTTGATTGATTTAAATCAGATATTAATCCTTAAAACTAAATGCACTGCATTGTAATTTTATTATTTACATCAGTTGTTCCTGGAAGTCCTGAGGTTAGTGTTCCAGGCCTTCTTTAGAAAAGCTTACAATCCAACTAGACAAGACAGACAAGGGAACAACAAATATCCACATTTTTCAGTTGGACAAATAAAGCAGAGAAAAATTAAATGACTTTATCTGTGCCAGGCAGGACGCCCGTAACAGTCATGACTAAAAGCCAGGACTTGTTCAGCTAGTCCAGTACTATATGAGACCATCCTTCCTCTCTAAATATTTTATAAAAGGCTTGGTCATAAATTTCTTCTTCAGGCAAAACTCCCAAAATCTGGATATCTGAGGCATGTGGGATTGGGCCCTTAGGCTGGGGACAGACATTCAGAAAGCCTGAATTGATTCAATCTTTGCAGGTTAGTCTAACCTGCCTAGGTTGAACTGGTTTGCAACTGTACAAACATTTCCTCTAGAATGAAGAAATGCAGGCACATGCCTACAGTGGCTCAGACTAGGCACCAGGGGGTGCAAGAGCCATCTTCTCTTCCTTTCTACAGTACTGAGCAGAGCTGGGGCATGGCCAGGTCTGGGCAGGACCTCTGATTAGGGAGGGGTATAACCCCCCCTCCCCACCTCCAGGCCTGCACAGTACCAGGCTTTTCCCTGCTCATTGCTCAAGGGGCAAGAGTGTTGCCAGATCCCAGTCCCTGGCTCGCAGTCTGAGGCAAAGGGGTGGGGGTGTAGTCTATGCATCTGCTGATGATACTGAGCTTTTCAATTTCCCTGTCCCTGCTTCTTCATTCTCCCTGCAAACCTGACAGGTGAGGGAGCCAGCATGGGGCTGATAACATAGCGTTTCTCAGCCCATCAACAAAACAAAAGCTTCTCTCATTAGTTCAAGCTCTTAAACAGCTTTTTCCAAGGAAGGAGTGGAGGGACATTACCAGCTGATCTGTTGATTAGCTCCAAAAAGCCCTAAATGGACACTGTTCTATCTGCTTGTCCTAGTGAAATTGGACACACACACACACCTCTCAGCATTGGCTAGGATACCACATGCCTAGGGTCCATGGGGCTGGAGTCTGCGCTGTGGGAGATGGGAGGGTGGGAGGGAGGGAAGGATTCCTGCTTGAGCAGTAAGCATTGGGGGGCAGGGGGGTGAAGGGAAAGCCAAGCAGACCCTGCTGTGC